TCTCTCTCTCTCTCTCTCTCTCTCTCTCTCTCTCTCTCTCTCTCTCTGCAGTGGAGGGTGAAAAAAAAGTATTTTTTTGAAGACGGTGAAATGGCGTCATTCGTACCTGTCGCTTGGATTTTTATTTTGGCTTTATCGACGGCTCTATCATGTAATCTGGTGATTGTCTCGAACGAAAGCGAAAGCTAGAGACAGAGAGAGAAAGAGAGAATGAGAAAAGGCGACAAGAATACGACGTGTCTGCACTTCATATCGTCGAAGAGACGAGAAAGAGTTGAGGAAAAAGTCAAGTAAACGGGTATTTTCACTTCATTCCCATCGAAAGCCAAGTTATAAACAGATTTTATTGAGATATAATAGATCGCATTAACAGCAATAATCACAACAATAACACCAACCGGGCGCAGCCTAGATGGAACAGAGCTTCAGTAAATTTATTTGCACAGAATCTAGCAACGGGAATGTGTGTGCGCAAGAGAGAGAGAGAAGGAGAGTAAATAATACAACAAAAAAACAGAAACACGAGGAATACATGACGCCAATGTTGACGACAAAAACTTTTTTGTTGAACATGGGCTGAAAAATGCGACAGCAACAGGAATTCACTGCAGAGCAAGCACGCAAATCCGAAGGTATCGAGAAGGTTGAGATCAGTACGTTCGTTCGTACGGGAACGGGGTACGACGAATATATGTATCGCGGTGCAAGTGAAGCCAAATGTAATATTGAAAAGTCTCTAGCGATGAATGGTATGCATGGAAGGAAAATCGAACGAGCGCGCCGACATTGGGTTTCGATGTTTCGATTCAATGTTGCCGATAAAAGTTTTGTGCATGCACACGTTTATTGAATTTCCATTCGCCATTTCACAAGTGACAACAGCACAAAAGACATCTATTGATATATTTATAATGCGTATAAAATCCACTTCAGCACTTCCGTATTATGTGCCGGAAGGATGTTGAAAATACACACAGCCAATATTCATGCAGTTCGTGCAGAACGTAATAATAATTCGATACACAGAATAAATCACCTGATTTTTTTTCTGTTCCTTAGTTTGTGGCTGCCTCTTCTTGTGCTCAACGGCAAAATTAGTCACTACAATGCACTGTATGCGACTATCGACGCGATTCAATATTTATTCAATGTTCACTTTTTTGTCGGGTTGTTGCGAGAAATTTATGCCTTATTCTCTCGGTGACATTTTATTATAAAATAGATGGAAAGACGGTCGCGAGCAAAAGAGACTAATATCAACGATACAACTGACATATTGTTTATGCTCAGCGATAGAAAACTTTTTGATTCACATATCGTTCTCTCTTCCCCCCTCTCTCTTTGTGTCTCTCACACAAAAAACACTATTGCTGAATGATGCCAACAATTCCGGAACCATACATTTTACTGCAGTAAACAGGCACCTTTTTCCAATGGAGGTACAGTCAATGTTGTGACACTTTAGCGTATGCCACCGCCGTCGTCGTCGACGTTTGAAAAATAGATTTTCTTCATTGTTACAAAATAAAAGGAAAATTCATATCGATAAAATATGCCAAACAAAAAGATTTTCAATATTCAATGAAATAATAATCGGTGGAAATTTCATAATATGTCATGAATAAATGTTTTTTTTGGTGGGTTGAATTGCATACATCAAACATCGTCTTTTCTGAACAAGCCACTCGCTCCAATCGCTTGGGGATGATTACTTTTTTGAGGATTCAAAAGACACTTTTATTGATGGAGGTTATTCCAAAAAGGAAAAAAAAGGGGCCAGCACTTCAGGTGCACCATCGATTTGATTGAATGATTTTATTTATGCATTCACCGAAAAAAAGGCATTCCATTGAACGAACCGTATCATCATCGATTGGTATGAATAACATTGATCCCAATGAAATCAACCGCATCTGTGTATGAATTTTTGCATGTTGATCAAAGTGATTTATTTGAGTCTTTTACTGCAGAGTTTTTTTCCCTCTCTACATTTTGTATTTCGAATGAAAACACAAACTCCTGAACAAATACGTGTATGTGTGTGTGTGTGTGTGTGTGTCGCATGTTTTCTCCGGGTTGCATTGCGTTGATGCGTTTATCCAATTGAGATGTGCAACAGCGGTGGTGGTGGCGGTGGTGGCGGTGGACACAGAGATGTGAACGAAAAAAAAGAGGCAAATCGGGTGCAAAACATTTAAATGTCCTTAATAAACAATAAATATTTTGGGCGATTGCACAACTGCCCCGATATTCGGTGTCGATGAATACAATGGCTTGATGTATGCGAGTCGGTTCGATCAGTGCAAGCAATTGTGTCGGCGAAGCAAACAGAACGAACGGGGAAAGAAAATCTGCAAATAGTTTGGAGCGGAGGATGACAGTGGATACAAATCTGTTTTGCGGTGTGGACTTATTTGGCAAGTGGCGTTGAAATTGCTCTATGTCTTTTTTTCGCTCGTTTACAGAACCGTGTTTACTGTATGTCCTCGATGATCGTTCGATTCATTGCGACTGTGTTCGCATCGCAAACGGATTTATTTTTCACGCGTATTTATTTCGCGACAAATTCGAATGATTTTTTTCCCGCTCTCTCTCTCTCTCCCTCTCATTCCTATGTACCAATTTTCGCCTCATTTCATCGATAATGTTGTTACCAAGTACGAAAATTCCCGCATAAAATTACAAGTTAAGCGAATCAAAAGAGACATGCACACACAACAGAAAAAAAAACGGAAAAACAATACATAAATATAGCGTTTACATTTGACTCCTGCAAATTATTGTTATTATCATCTCATGCATACTATATTAAATGCATGACCTTTTTTTCCGCACCAAATTACACACGCAGCGAGCGATGATTTATTCTCATGTTATTGATGATGCGCTTCAGAATCTTGTATAAACATTTGCATTGATGCAAAGTGCAATCGAAGCGAACGAAGCACGCGATAAAAACAAAGCCGATCGAGAGAGGGAGAGAGAGTAGCTGGCCGTTG